GCTGAGACCATTATGATGCTAAACAATTAAAATAATAATGAACACATTAAATAAGTCAAACAAAATATTCAAAATCCTGAATAGCAAGCAGTGTGATTTCCATTCCTGTGTAATTAATAGTATGGAAATGATTATCTGAACAAGAGTAGAGTCAGTAGGATGATTATGGTCCAGGTGAGAGAGGATTTTGTCCCAGTATAAAGGAGTGGCATGAAAACCTTTTTGGGTTAGAGAGCCACCTTAGTGCTGTGCTTGGGAGGTTATGCCACCACATCTGAGGCCACGTCTGCACTACAAAGTTTTGCTCATATAGGCATGCTGGTTAGGGGTGAAAACCCCTTGTGTAGATGTAGCTTATACCAGCAAAAGAGCCTTTTGTCAGTATAGGTGATGATGTTCAGGAAGGTGTTTTAACTATACCAGCAAAAGAACTCTTATTCCTGGTTTGTGCTGCATCTCCAGTAGGGAGCTCTGCTGATATCGCTTTACCATCAAAGCCTTTGTAGTGCAGACTAGCCCTAAGTGGGTCAAACTAGGGTTGCCAATCCTCCAGGATTGTCCTGGAGTCTCCAGGAATTAAAGCAACAGAGGGTCCTGTGGCACCTTTAAGACTAACAGAAGTATTGGGAGCATAAGCTTTCGTGGGTAAGAACCTCACTTCTTCAGATTCAAGTAATGGAAATCTCCAGAGGCAGGTATAAATCAGTGTGAAGATAACGAGGTTAATTCAATCAGGGAGGGTGAGGTGCTCTGCTAGCACTGATTTATACCTGCCTCTGGAGATTTCCATTACTTGCATCTGAAGAAGTGAGGTTCTTACCCACGAAAGCTTATGCTCCCAATACTTCTGTTAGTCTTAAAGGTGCCACAGGACCCTCTGTTGCTTTTTACAGATTCAGACTAACACGGCTACCCCTCTGATACAGGAATTAAAGATTCATCTTTAATTAAAGATTATGTCATGTGATGAAACCTCTAGGAATACGTCCAACCAAAATTGACAACCCTATTCAAAACTGACTCTCTAGTTTGGAATCCACATGATGGATGATCTCACACAGCTCCTCCTCTTGCTGAAATGCCGCCCATGTGCTTCAGCTGTCTTAAAGTGTGTGATGATATCAAGGAACCGCCCAATAATACCATTTAAGTGAGAGTCTGTAACCCTTTGGATTCGTCTGCAGTATTTTCTTCAAGTAAACATTCAGCAAAAGGCATCAATTCCAGTATCACTCTTCTTGCCTTAATATAGCATCTCTGTGTGAAAAGCAGGGAAACGACTCTAGGGGGGGGGAAACATGTTGAGTGTTTGAATGCTGTACTGGGCACATGATAAAAAATGAGAGCTCTTTTTCCTGGATGTCATCCCACAATTGTTCTTCTCAGAAGTCTTGTTTCCAACAGCTCCTAGCTTTTCACTATGCAGAACGTCAACTCTTGTATTTGTTTATATAAAAATGAGTTTCAAATCATACTCACTGGTTAACAATGAGAAACAAATGAAATCTACAACAAACAGGATTATTCGTAAATGTAATCCATTCCAGTACTTTTCTTGGGAATCATAAAACAAGAGTGCTATGGTTTCTGTTGTCACCAGAACAGAATCATTTTGGGGTCTGGTATTTTCCAGGAAAATTCGGCAGTACTCCATTTATTCAATGGTCAGATGAAATGTACGGTATGTGTTTTCAGTGTCTTGTAATCACATCAAGCTTTTAATGGCCCTGCTTTACTGGTTGCCAGGCAAAATGTGCTAAGTTCTTCATAGCAGTGTGATCCAGTCTGATTGGTTGTTGCATACATTGTTCTATGTGTCCTACTTTTCAGTTGGTTTGCAGGTAACCATCTCTGCAGAAAGTGCTTCATCTTAAACAATAATGAGTAAATTACACTAAAAAACTGAACTGAAACACTGATAAATACTGCATTTGAAAGAACCGTGCTCACAGTACAATGGAAAAGCCAATGTGCGTTAAAGTTACCATAGATACATTGCTCCGCCCAGTGCAGGAAATAAGACACCATGTGTGTATATGATTAAAAACTATATTCATTCTAACATAACCAGAACAGAGCTACAGCATAGTCCCCATTCTGCCAGAAGGGCAAGTCCAGCATGTTACATTATCAAATTGCCATGGAAACAGGGTCTAATCGTAAGGAGGAGGCTAGCCCACTTCTGTCAAATCAAGCAGACATCAGAACTGAGAGAGCCCCCAGAATCCCCAGACTTTTCCTCGGGTGAGGGATGTGGGTCTAGATGAGAACTTCCCCTTTCTGGGCTAGATACTGAAGCCGCTCCTTGTCGTGCAATGCAGAGCAGTGACTGCAGCCAGAGGCCACTGAGCCAATGCGACTGTGAAGGCATTCCGGCACCCTTTCCTCACTTAACCTGCTGTAAACATCTACAGAAACTTGTGACAATTGAACAAGTATAAACAGATTCCTTCCTTAAACCAGACCTTCTGTGTGCTCTGATGAAAGTGAAAACCCAATATTTACTTAGTGCCCATTTTGTGATGAGGGGAAAGTCCTAGTCCTGAAAAGATTGCTGGTGGAACCTCCAGCAAAACAGAAAGTCCTGCAGCAAACAACATGTGGCAGTTAACTAAAGAAAACCCAGGAGAGGCGAGGGAAGAATGGGTGATGTGTGCAGGAAGGAAATGTCTGCGTGGTCTCACGCCTGAGAGGAATCTTTGAAGGCCATACCCACAATGGATCAGGGAGATTGGCCAGTGGGAGGTCCTGTGGCATTCAGAATGGTCAATCAGGTGAAAAGAGGGAAGGCAGAGCAAGCGTGGTCAATTCCTACCGACCCACAAGGCATTTTGATTTTGTAAATTGAGACAATTGACAGGGCCATTCAGAGCCTGTGTGTGGGCACCGTTTATTTATTCTAAATTAGAAGAAGAAAAAAGAAAAATAAGTACGGTAAATCTCTTAATGGCTCATTGTACTTGGATTCTAGTCTCACGTGAGATCTTGGCTTCAGGTTACAGTGCCTAGAGAGACAGTATCTGCAGTAGTTAGAGCAGGGCAATGGGAATCAGGACTAGTACAAATGACTAACTCGGTGTGTGACCCTGAGTGAATCACATAACTGATCTGTACCTGAGCTTTCTATCCCTAAAAGGGGGAGAGTAGTTAGAGCAGTGGTGAGGCTTTTTAAATTACAGTTTGTAATGTGCTTTGAGTTGCTTGGATGCAAGGTGTTATAAAAAGGCAAAGGAATATTAAAATGTGATCTGAATACCTGATGATTGATAAGCCAGTTCTTAAACATCCTTTTCTGAAGATGTTATAGTATATTAACAACCTCTCTTTTCCCCCAATCTTCCCAATGTCAGCTCTCCTTGTACACACAAATACTCTTTCATGTACTGATTTATGCAGTCTTGCTAAGAACGATAAGTCTGGTTGTTTCCCTTCAGTGAAAACTGGGAGTTGTTTATTCCAAATTTATAATGTGTGTGAATGTTTACTGATGGGACTGCCTACTGGTTCTCCCCCTTCCTCTCTGGTTTTCTGTCCTTCCCCCCACTCTCGTTCTTTGGTGCTCTGTTGATTATGAATACAAAATCTCAGTCAAGTTTATATTTTTAAAAGTATATTGGTTGGTCTCTCTCCTTCCTGAACTACTCTTAACTCTTGGCTAAGCAAATCACTCGTCTCCCTTTGAAAATGTTGCCGTTTGTTGCTCATTTACAGTCCAGTGTGAGTGGAAGCCTGCTATTCTCCTTCTGTGATAACACAACTACTGTTTATAAATCTTTTCAACCAGAGGGTGTCTTCATAAAGCAAATGGACACTTAACAAACTGACCATTGAAATAACCATTGTAAATGTCACAATTTTGATTTTAAAAAATGCCAACTGTAAAGCATGGTAGTGCACGAGGCCATCTTATCTAAAAATAAATATTTTCACGTCAGGATGAAAGTACTCTTTAAACAGTGCTTCAGTGGATTTAATATGATGCCTTATGGAAGTTTTGCTTGTATCTGAGTCCTTGCAGAAGTAGCCCAGGTGTATTGCCCAGGTGTATTGCCAGCTGGTGTTGTGTCAGTCTATTTTTAGTTCTTAATTTGAGATTGGAATAAATAAAATGACCTGCGCTGCATTATCTGTCACTTTCCACAAGGTAAGGGATACATTTTCTAGCAGCCGGCATTATTGCCTCCACATATATACACACAGTGGAGTTGCCTTCAACTGAGTGCAATAAATTACTCCTATTTAATCTATTGTTATAAGACAAACAAAGTTCTATCATGAACAAATAATGTTGGTATAGTGAAGTTGTCTTCGTTAGAACTGAGACTTACTTCTCTTTATCATCTGTGCAAGTCCCTTTTCGCCTGGAGGTTTAAATTTTCTATCAGCAATTCTAACAGTCTGAATAGATGGATGTTAATGTCCAAATTAGGCAGATCTAAAATAATTGAAGAAGAGATTTGTTGACATTTGCTTAAAATGCATTATTAAATTCCCAGTTATATAGCTGGAGTCTTTGACTTTATCTGTTAAACTTTTTTTGTCTTGTCATTTCTGAGCATCAGCAGGAAGCCAAACCAGTAGAAATATCTTGGGGGCATGAGCGAAGTGGTACCAAAACACCTCATTATTCCTAGCTGTGTGAAAGTATTGTGCCCTATGTTTTCCAAACTTTCATTTCATGCATGGTCTATGCAGATTTCTACCTTTAAGAAACCAAAGAGCTGGAAGGAAACATACATTGTTCTTATAGGCCTATGCAATATGAATACAACTTCTCAATTCATATTTTACATTTGCATTTTTGTCCGCCATATGATTTATGACCCTTCAAGGTCGAAAGTCGTAATCTATAATATCACATGCAGACTTACTTCACCTCAGTTGTGCTGATTTAATATAGTTATAAATGTATGAGTATTTAGTGTGAAAAAGAATACTAGATGAATAAAAATACCAGGACTTGGAGCCAGGTTTGATAGTTGTTTGCTTTCCCTTGGCAGCCACCAGCTCAGCCCACTTAGAGGATCTAGCTTACCTGGATGAGCAGAGACATACTCCCCTACGCACGTCCCTCCGAATGCCTCGGCAGAGCATGGCAGGTGCCCGCATACAACAAGACCTAAGAGGTAAGGCCCAGCTGAAGACTTTTGTGCGGCCACATGCCATAGGTAGTAGCCACAAGGATATGACCTTATATGGTGCTTCCTGCAGTTGTCTATTATTTTGGTGGAAACATCCGATTTATGTAAAGTTTCCCATATTACCATATATACTCGTTCATAAGCTGAATTTTTTTAGTAAAAAAGGGAAGCATCAGAGAGGGGGGTCGGCTTATGAACGGGTATAGAGAGGGGGAGAGGCGGGACACAGCCCCTCCCTGAACAGAGGAGGCAAGGAGAGGCAGCGCAGCCAGCAGAGCCAGAAGGAAAGAGGCGGGGCCAGTCTCTCTCCTCTTCTGGCCACGCTGCTCTCCCCCTAGTCTCCGAAGCAGCTGCAGCTCCGGGGCTGGCAGGCTGCGGCTGCGCCGCCTGACCTGCCGGTGCAGGCTACAGCCAGGCCAGAGACATCCTCCTCTGGCCCTCCCCAGGTAAGGTGGGAAGGGATGGGATGGGGAGACTGGGGGGGTCCCGGGCTAGGGGCGGGGAGGGGTTACACAGGGAGGGGTCATGTGGGGAGGCCCCGGGTTAAGGGTGGGGTCATGTGGGGGGTGGTCACAGGAGTTACTTCCTTGACCCCCAGCTTCTCCCCCCCCCCCCCCAAAAAAATTTCCCCACCAGTTGCTGTCCCGGCCAGTCAGGGGAAGCTGCTGGCAGGTAGGGACATTTTGTTTACTTAGGTTTACCTCCGTGCTTGTGGATGCTCGAGGTAAACAAACCGTTTTGGCCTGCCAGCGGCTTATCCTGATGGGCCGGGAGCCAAAGTTTGCTGATCCCTGAATTATAGGGTCGGCTTATGAATGGGTCATAAAAATTTGCCATTTTTACTTATCCATATTGGGGGGTCGGCTTATAAACGAACCAGCTTATGATCAAGTTTATACGGTATATACCTGAAGTGCTGCCTCACTACTGAGAAATGAGGTGGCCTCTTGTCTTGCAGTGTGTTTCTTCCTAGCATTGTCAAATAAGAAGGGAAAGAAAACTTGAGAGAAGGTGTAGCAATAGACTCAAGTACTGATCTCTTTAGATGATGGTAGTTTGCCAGTGGCTGGGCCATGTTTCTGTGAGGAACAGTGCAAAGGGAGCTACATGGAGTGTTGTTAAAGTACCCTTTCTGGATTGCTCTTGCTGTGATATTTGCTTAGAAAGCAAATGCGTCAAACTCTGATGTCTATTTCGGTTGCTATATACAGAATTGTGTGCTGGCAGGTTATACATACCTGTCAACATTGCAGCCTGTTGCACCCTATTTTTTCCTTTTATTGGACTTTGGTTTGTTTGCATTTCAGCAGTTACTGCTTGCAAAAGATACATCATGGTTAAAGGTTTGGGTTTGGAGGGGTTTTTTGTTTTTGATTTTTGGTGCCCTCAGACATACTGTAACTACAGTATCTGAATGAGCATACACTGAAAAGATGCTTGGGTCTTGAGTTGTGTTTCAGCTGTGTGGGACAGCTTCCTGCTGTTGGTTTGCCACAGGGCCATCCTATGTTTGCGTGTCTGCAAGTCATGCAGTGCTTGTTAAGAGATCATAAAGCTCTCCTCTTCTCCTCTGGGTGATGTGTTTATTTTTACCTTGAGGAGCTGACCTACTGTCTCAAGTAAGGCAGTTTGGAATGTGCCCATCAGTCCACGCTAGACTGGTTTCTAATGTAGCAATCCAATGGCACTGCAGGGTTGGCCGGTTTTAATTCTGATGGGGATTTGTACAACACACACAACCCTTGACTGAAAGAGAAAAGTGATTTTGTGTCGTCTTGGATCACGGTTTGTAATGAAATCATATTGGCTGGTGATACAGTTATAAAAATGTATTGGCAGGCAGTCAGCGAAGAAAGCAAACTTTGACAGACAGAATTTCCATATGTTCTAACTGAGCAGCTTGCCAAGCCTTCATAATTTGCAGTGATTGCATCCAAAACATTAAACTTTATTGTAGGAACAGAATCAAATTGTTTTCCAGACACACTTTTAAAAAAACAGGCAGCACCACATCTTTTCTTTTCTTTTTCGGTTAAGCCTGCGTGTGAATAGCGAGCAGTGTTTCATATTTTATGTCTGTTTCTGGTTTTTGTTGTAGTGACACGCTATCTTAACAAAGGGGAGGGAGGGAAAGCACTATAGATAATACCACTATTTGGAAGTTTCTTCTTTTCACGGGATATGTCATTTTTTCTGAGTGTTAAAAAGTTCCAAATGTTTCCTTGAAACTGTGTAGAACTGGCCTGTTCTAGTGACCAGGTCTTTGAGCTGTTGTGCCAATTGGAAATCCTAAACTTGGGCTCAGTCTTAGTATGTCATGTCTTGGGGATTTGCAGAGATGGTTCTCAGTCTTTAGTGGAGCAAGTAGTGGCTTCCGATCTGAGGGCCAAAGATTATGACTATTGTTTAACTCACCAATCCCCCTCGTGCCCAAATTTTAATTTTTCATGGAGAGGTTCAATGGGTAGACATTAAACAAGTGATTCTTCCCTTCTGTACATTTTGTCTGTTAAACCAACCTGTTTGAAAAGCGGAATTGCATTCCTTCCCCAGCTTAATATTAAAGGCTCAGAGCAGGAAAAATATTTTGTGCAAGTGGCAGGTTATAAACCGAATACTGAGTGCACTTTTCATTTTACTGTCATGAGCCAGGGGAATTTAAGGTTAGTTTAGGTTAATATAGCTTAACATGCAAGATAATAGTTGCAAGGTACCCTGAAGTAGAAGTGTATTGTAGAACTAAGTACTGGGTATTAAAACATTCGCCAGTGTTGTCATCATGTTCCCATCCCAGATAAGGGAAAGTCAATGGTAATTTACTATGTAAAACATTCTTCTTGTCCTCGATAGGAAATATTTTGGGGACAGATGATTGGATGGAGAATTCCTGAGTGCTACAACTCTTGCATTAGAGTGCTAAAGTACTGCTACTATTATTAATATAGGCAGTGCAGTAGTGCCTAACACTTTCCATTATAATCTATAAAATCGCCTAACACTTTCCATTATAATCCCCTGTTTTCACTTGCTTGTAACTGTTATACACTTTAGCCTTTTGGGCTGAAGTTTTCCACGCTTCACTGATTTTTATGAAAACTTGATAAAAATAGTTCAGCCATCTCCAAGGAGGTGCTCAATAAAAAATAGATATTTATATAGTGCTAAATGTATGCGAGGTTCTTTACAGAAAAATAGGATTCTCTGAAGAGCTTGCAGTCTAAATGGAATAAAAGGAAGATAGGATCAAGATTCTCAAGCATTTAATATACCAACGTTTGCATGCTGCTGTTTAACATAGGATAGAAGGAGATGACAGTTGACAATACCGTGTTCCTCAGATCTACATTTCAATTCTAATAAGTATAAAGTCACTCGTGTCCGGGTGTTGCTCTCTAGATATTTGCAATACTCTTAATATGTGGCTTAGTACTGTATGGGCTTTGTATTGGACAGCAAGATATCTGTGTGTTCCAGCTGCTGGTCCTAAAATGGAAACTGGCAAGTACACCACACAGCTTAATGCTAATAATGAACTGTGGATGCTTACTGCCAGCATAGCTCAGAAGGAGTTCTTAGTCTCTTGGAAGAGAAAGGCGTCTGCAAGCCAAATAATTTTCTAACAGGCACTTCAACAAAATCAAATTACAACTAAGAATTCAGTTTGTATAGGGGAGAGTGATCTAGATGGTACAGAAGCGTGTCTCCTGAAGGCCTGTGTTTAAATCTGAAGGTTAGGATCAGAAGTGAAATAAATGATTGGACCTCAGCTGTGCGGATTTTGTGCATTTGTTCATATTCTTCAATCAGCCTTACTTTGGTATGATTGGCATTTTCTGCTATGGAGGGACCCAGGACTGGAATAGCAGGTGTGTTTCAAATCAGGATTGAAATGTGTTTTTAGGGCTCTACTGGAGAGGTTTGCAAAGCTTATGTGTTGTCAGTCTCTCATTTAGCACTAAAAATACACTCTCTACCTGCCCCCCTAATTCTTTCCAAAGAAATATAGATTTAATTTACTTCAACAAGTTATCTCAAGTTCAGGATATTAGCATGGGACTCTAGCCTCAATTCTGTAAAATTCTTCATTAAAAGTGAATAGAAAACCCAGTGAAGGGTTGACAAATTGTCAGATATAAAAAGGCAAGTTGTTAATTTATTTTGTGGTTGTAACAAATACTAAAGCCAAGCAAGTAACCAGGATCCTCCAGTTTGTGCGCACACACTCTGGCCTGCTAATTAGTCACATTTTTGTCCCTCTCCTTCTGAGCCCTTTCCAAGCATCTGTCCTCCAGTAAATTAGTCTGAAAAATGTAAGGGCTGTGATACTGTTTACCTGCTCTCTATTTCTTTTCTCGCCCTAATTTGTTTTTATCTACTTTCTTGTTCTCCATTCTTCTCCTTTGTTACTAAATAGGCTTTGAAGATGAAGGATCATTGTCCTCTTGCAAAAGTTAGAATGCAAAGGTTACGGTTGGGAATTCATTAGGGCCCCATAGTTAATTACCCTTCTATGACGTCGATAGAGACACAGCTGTATGGGGCTTTATTATGGGTCTGACTCTTGGTAGCTCCCATAGTTCTGTGACTTGCTTGGCTATGCTTGGGGAGTGCTGTCTGCTGAGGATTATTAAATAAATGTTAACAGGGGCTCTAGAGATGTTCATCAGACAATATCAGGAATTGATGAGGTTAAATAAGTATCTGGCATGTATCATGTGACTAATCGGTGACACATGAAAATTATTTTTAAACGTTTTAGAAAACCCAGTTAGCAAAATCTCAGTGCTCTTTTCTTCTCTAAAGATATGGAGCCTTGGCTTGATGGTGTAGATTAAAATAGGTATTGGCCAGGCATCAGTTTAACAGAATGGACAAATCAGTGATGAGGAATGGTGTGAGTACACTGCAGGATTCAATTTAGTCAGCACAATAAAATGAAATATTTGGGGCCTTTTCCTATGGACCATGTGGAATTAATATTCTAG